TAATAATAATAATAATAATAATAATAATAATAATAATAATAATAATATCATCCAGCCATTCCATGTTAGGCAATAGTATTATTGGCTGCGCTTTAGCGGTTGTCTGAATAAGGCAAGCCCAGATAGAATGACTCGAATTACAGAAGAATTCTCGTCGTCTCCCTTCTTGCTCTGGAGGTTGAATCCTGCATGAAAGGGTTGCATCGCCTCTTGGAAAGCGCAGCAGGATCCAGATGTGCACTTCTCTTGAGTAGACATGCATACTCTCTCTATATATATATATTCCCCGAAAAGGGGGATTGTTGCCACCTTTCCCCAATTGAATAGGCTGATGCACGAATGGGCTGATGCTGGAAGTTCGGTGTTAACTGAGTCCTGTGATGTACACAATGTGTTTATGTAAATAAAGTATTTGGTTAAGCATCAAAAAGCCTCAAGATAAAACGACTTCATAATCAGAAGTGCACTCTTGTGGGAGGGACTTCATTTGTTTTCTAAACAATAATTCCCCAAATTAAAGAAGAAACTAATTAAATGCATAAATCTCAACTCTTGATCCCTTCAGTTTTACTTTTTCCATCTAAAAAGAGTAGCTGAAACAGTGAATTAAACGTTACAGGCCGAGAAGATTCTGTAATCTGGTGGCTGAAAAAATGTCCCCTAATTGAAGTTAAATGATGATTTGTAGTATGTATGAAAATTAGACTCAAATGGAGTAGTTTGCCTTTAAAGATATGCAGGCAAATATCATTTTCCTTTTTGAGTAGTTTATAATGTTTATTGCATATTAATCATACATATACATTATTCATTTTGAAATGCTTTCTAGGATATATTTTTAACTTAGTTTTCTTTACAATTTGATGTTTACAATTAAAATGTGGATTTTGAATGAGTACTATAATGATTATTTGTGCAGTGCTAATAGCATTCCAGCTATGTGGACAGAATGTATGATTTCCTAAGGTATGAAAAAAAGGGGGGTGGGACCTTTGAAATCTCACAAAATCAATTTGTAGTTATCCAGGTTGAGATTGTGGTGATGAACAGTTGCAGCCCTTCTGAAAATCATAAACAACATACACAGAAACTGGAAAAGATGAACATACTTCTTTCTAAACAATATAGTATGGATATAGCAATCTTAATCAACTGAAGCTTCTAAATACTGTACCTGGAACTATTAGTGTGAGAATAGTTGAAAAATGTTTCAGGTTTTCAACTGACCCGGGATGGGTAAAGAAGAAGGGGGATTTACTATAGGACAATGGTAAACATTGTCTTCAGAGAACATCAGGAAACCACCACGGCCAACCCTGGAAGTTCATGCTGGCTTCAATCCTTGATCTTCCAGAGGGCATATTTTCATTTGAACCCCAGTACTTCTCCCCTTCCATTCCCCCTCCAGTATCATAGCTTCCCTTTTATTTCTTTATTTTTCATCTTAAACTGCAATTTTGGAACATTGCTACTTTGTTCCCATGCTTTCTTGTTACAGACTGAAAGAAAGTTACAGATTGTTGCCTATTGTAGCATCAGAACTATAATATATTATCAGGAAAAAAAACTGGTGGAGGGGGAGAGAGGGTCTGTGTTGGTGTCAAATGGACTACAGATTATGCATGAACCAGCAATCCTGGACTAGGTGAACAGAGAAAAAATGTCAGGAACATTGGAACCAATTCAACTGTAGACTGCATTTTCAAGCTACAGGAATGGGAAGAGCAATAATAATGTTGCCCTAGTCAGGCTACAGGAGTGAGCAGGCCAAAAAGCAATGAAATAACCAATGAGTTCAATTAGTAGCCATGTCCAACTGACCATCAGCCTAGCCCTGTTACCAACCCTTTCTGGGGGAAAGAATAGGAGTGCATTAACTTTAGGCTGCACTGCTATGTATTAAACATAGACAGGTAACAACATAGATTATTATTATGCCAAGAAAAACAAGAAATATAGCAGTATGTTTTCTCACTTGTATAGTTGGACATGTAAAACCCCTAAAGTACAATAACGCATAGTACAATTCAGAAAATTTTAGGATTTAAGTTCGAAATGAAATCACAGCTTTCTTACAGATATAATGTCAGAAGAAAATCAACAAAAAACATAATTTAATGGCTGCTCGGAGCAGCAAGAATAAATTTTGCTCAACATTGAAAGAAAGGTACAATTCCAATAATATCTGATTGGGAACTTAAATCTGGAGAATACAACAATGGCAAAACTTTGATACAATCTGCAGCAGTTCCTTTTCAATGTTACACTCAATTATGAAAGAAAAAAATCCAATCATTTTATGCTTGTAATATCAATATCTTAAATTGTAATTAATATTGATATATTTTGTCTCTTGTCTATTTCCCATATTTGTAGTTTTCTAAATAGGATATCAATAATCTCCAATTAATATTTAAAAACATCACTGTCTTGAAACAATATAGTGTATCAAGATTTGTTATAACAGAAAGAAGGAGGAAGAAATATATCATTTATAGGATTTATGACAGTATTCCAACTGTGCAGTGTTCTTGGATTTAAAAGGGAAAAACTGCTTGGAGCACACAGAGACCTGATATAGCACCTATCGGTTTAAAACAGCTGTGGGTTTTTTTTCTACATCTGCAACACAACCCCAGGAAGCACACATCTGATTTAAGGAGTTGTCAACAGGTGCTACAAGTGTTGCCATGCACACTCCAAAGAACTTCCCTTTGAATCTGAAGCATTGCACAGCCCTACAGCACAAAAGTCATAAATCATAAGGATTTAAAATTTCTGATGATAAGATGCAGAATGCCTATCTTCCAGACACAGGTGCTTTGTGCAAATAATGATGAGGATGGGGATGATAAGGATGATGATTGGTCCATATAAATGTAGATTAAATATATACACCTGAGCAAACATTCTCTGGAGAAATTGTAGAGTAAAAAGCATACTCAAAATATAGGGCCCAATAAAGAAAACTGTATAAAGTGTATTTTTATAGAGACAAATAAGGCTGCTAATATCTCAGACTGAAATGCTGCACTGAAACAGTGGTATCTCAAGATTTACCAAAAACACACATTGATGTAAAAGGAGGAAAGAAATCCTTCCTTCCTTCCTCTGTTTGACACCTGTGCTCTAGGGAGATGCCTTTGGATGATGGCCTCTACTTTAATCATAGAATGTAAGATAGAGATCCTGCAGTCTAGACTTTTATTGGCACAAAGTAAAAAACAAAGTAGATAAAAATGTAGTCAATTCTATAGCTCCACTTCCTAGATCAGACATGTAAAGCATATAACTAAGAAAATCAGCCCTTCATTCTTTGGATGTTAGATCAAAATCCTAAGATAAGAATAAAATAATTGTATTAAGGAAAAAGAGGATGAAAAATTCCTTTTGCGAGTTTAATTCTTTACATGCAAAACAGTAACAATAAATATGTAATTCTATTAAAATCACAACATTTCCAAAGACTCTTCAATCAAAATTCTATAAAGGAAAATTTTAACTTGGGACAGATCACTGAGTGGAAGTAATATAGGCAACTGCCAGACAGAGATCCAATAATCTTAAAACATACAATACTAAACTTCCATATATAAGATAAACGTTAGAAACAATAAAGATATTGACTAGTACACAAAAATATTCATCTTACTGTGGTATTAACTAGATATTTATGTACTATATGTCTATCCAACTCACAGTTCCTTTTGGATCAGAATTCTCTTTCTCATTCAATTCTAATTTTACTTTGATTTTCTGGAAATTTGGGAACAAGATATCTTCTTTCAATCTTTGGCACTTATTTTATTCGTCAATTGCTTTCAAGATAATAGGTATAAGTAAAAACATAGTTATGAATACATGGATACATATAAGAAAAATAAAAAAATATAAAAAATATAAAAGAAACAATAAGACAGGGACGGTAGGCATGTTGGTGCACTTATGCACAACCCCTACAGACCTCTTAGGAAAGGGGTGAGGTCAATAGTAGACAGTCTAAGGTTAAAGTTTTTGGGGTTTGGGGAAAAAAAACAGAGAGTCAGGTAGAGTATTCCAGACATTGACCACTCTGTTGCTGAAGTCATATTTCCTGCAATCAAGTTTGGTGCGATTAACCTTGAGTTTGTATCTATTGTTTGCTCTTGTGTTATTATGGTTGAAGCTGAAGCATTGACAGGTAGGACATTGCAATGTATGATTTTATATACTATACTTAGATCGGATCGAAGGCAGCATAGTTCTAGGTTTTCTAGGTCTAGAATTTCAAGTCTGATGGCATAAGGTATTCTGTAACAAGTAGAGGAGTGGAGAACTCTTCTTGTTAAATATTTCTGAACTTTCTCAACTGTGGTAATATCAGATACGTAATATAGGTTCCAGACTGATGAGCTGTATTTGAGTATTGGTCTAGAAAATGTTTTGTATACTCTAGTTATTATTGTAATATTGCCAGAGAAAAAGCTACGTAAGATTAGGTTAACAACTCTTAACGCCTTTTTGGCTATGTAGTTACAGTGGGCTCTAGCACTTAGATCATTAGAG